GGTCTGATGGGTGCCCCGCGCCCAGAGACACAGCGCTATAGGAAGTCGCGTCCTCAGCTCCCAGAAGCAGGGCCAGGGGCCAAGGGGGTCTTCTCCCACCACCCTGGTGGGAGAGCATGAGGCCCCAAGCTGCTGGTTGTGTGACTTTGGCCAAGGTCCTGTGTAAAGCCCCTTTTCGCCATTTGTCACCTGGGGACGGCTCACAGGCTGCTGCGGGACCGCATGGGAAGGTCCTCGCAGGGACGTGGTCAGCCAGCGCTGGGCTGGCTGTCAGGGGGCTGCGCCTCCGCCGGCAGCCGAGGACTGCGGTGGAGCCCTGGCTCCCTTCCTGGAGTGCCGTGACCTTCACCCTGTGACTGGCTAACTCAGCAGGAGAAGGCTTGTGGACTCACTTTTCTCCCGTTTAATTAAGGATCAGAGCACGAGAACTTTCACACTGACTGTGAGCTCTAACTCTATTCCCAAAACGAAAGAGAAATAACGAGAAAGAGGACAGACTGCTGGGCCCCTTGTTTCTCCTGCTGGTGCAGGCTTTCCAGGGAGCAGAGGGTGGCAGCTTAGCATCTACGCTGTACCAGAGACCTGAAAACCGGGGGGGTGGGGTGGGGGGGGTGGGGGTTGGGTCCCTGCGGCCACCGTGCGCTGGCTCACTCCGTGACGCTCTTGGTTGGGGTGTCTGTTCCGGGCAGCCTAAGCGAGCTAGAGGGAGGAATGTCCCAATTGCCCCCAGAGAACCAGGCTGGCTCTCAGTCTAGAAATAGTTTAGCTTGTGTTTCCGTATTTTGACAATCCCTGGAAATCGCTCGGAATGTGTCTATTTCTCTTGGCCCTAACATTACTCCAAGGGGAAGAAAGCAAAGCAAACAGACAGGACCTGTGACCCACACTGGAATCCACTTTGCTGGAGGTTCCCAGCTCCCTCGGCTGGCAGAGTTACATGCATTTCATAGACTGTTCGGGAAAAAAAACACATGGAACACTGATGTCCCCCTGGGGCTAATTCATGGGCTTGTTTACACTCACTGAAGTTTTTGGCTACATCTTCTCCCCCCCTCCCTTACAAATTACTCTCATTTTTAAAACTTTTTAAGCTTTTCTTCCTTTTTTTCCTACTTCCAACATCAAACAATGTTAGCATAAAGCCTATGACAAAATGGCAACATATTAGACAACTGAGATGAAATCCCCAAAACACACACACACACCACTGAAACTGACACATGAAGAAATAGAAAATCTGAGTAGACCTATAACAAGCTCAGAGCAAGTCAGTGATCAGAAACTACTCATCAAGGAAGCCTCCAGACCGACAGCTTCCTTGTGAGTTCCTTCAGACCTCAAAAGGAGAACTAACACCAGTTCCTCACCGACTCCTCAGAAGACAGAAGCAGGAGAAACCCTTCCTGACTCACTCTGGGAGGTCAGTGTTACTTCCTGATACCAACACTGGACAAAGACCTCACATGAAAAGATAACGCAGGCAGCGGCAAGGTGGTGGCACAGCGGGTAGAGCCTCAGCTTGTGGTGCCGGCGTCCCCCGTGGGCACTGGTTCCTGTCCTGGCTGCTCCACTCCCGACCCAGCTCTCTGCTAGGAAAAGCAGCAGAAGATGGTGCCAGTGCTTGGGCCCCTGCCACCCACGTGGGAGGTGGAGAGGAAGATCCTGGCTCCTGGCTTCAGCTTGGACCATCCCTAGCCATTGCAGCCATATGAGGAGCAAACCAGTGGATGGAAGATCTCTCCATCTCTCTCTTTTTCTCTCTCTCTGTAACTTTGAGTTTCAAATAAATACATCTTTTAAAAAAAATCTAGACGGTATCTCTTATGAAGATACATGCAAAAATCCTCAACAAAATGCTAGCAAACCGAATCCAGCAACGCACAGCAAGGATCACACTGGCGACCCAGTGAGATCTGACATGGAAACACACGCAATGAGAGCCCAACAGGAAAAGCCGAGCACAAGCTTGCTCCAGGGGACTTCTGAGCTGCAGGCCACGGCCAACCCCCCTCGTGCAGCAAGGGCTGTCTTCCTGTCTCAGGCCTGCTGGGAGAGGGGGGAGAGCAGGGGGTCCCCACTGATCGTCTTCTAGGAGGAGGGGGCTCTCTCCTGTGGGTGGGTCGACGATGGTGTCCTGCTCTCCTCACCCAGCTGAGCTGCAAAGATGGGAGATGCGCTCACAGGCAGAGCGGGAAAGGACATTATCTACAAATCACTCCCAGCTCCCACTCCACAGACGTGGAGAACTCAGGACCGGAGGCAGAGGGAGTTGGTGATGGGAGCTCGCTGACGGGCGCCTCATCTCCCGTCCGAGGCTCCTTCCCCACTCCAGCCATGACCACCGCTGTCCTGCTACTCAGAGAGGACACAGTTGCTCTGACTGACCTGGCCACCCATGCATACCTGGGAGATGACACCGACAATAACAATAACAGCCAACACTACAGAGCACCGCTCCGCTAGGCAACGGGCTAAGTGCACGTTAAGGTGTTTGCTTCTCGGAGACCCTACTAGGCACACTTGTCAGTGTTCCCATTTCATGGGTGTAAACAGTCAGGGTCCCTCAGCTACTAAGGGGCGGCAGCCTGCTCTCTGCACGACTGATTTCCGACTTTCTTAGAGAGGGATAAGGAAGGCAGCTTATGGCCTGGCAGCAGACACGAAGGTGCTCACCGGGGGAACAGGTGTCCCTGCGCAGGGGTCACCACTGCCGGGAATGTCCTGGCTCAGGGATGTGACTCCAGGGTTCGGTGTTGCTCCTGAACCTGGAGCGGTGCTCACCCGGAAGTTTCGTTTGTGACCGAGAGAAGGTGGACTAAGGGACTCGGCCGTGTAGGGCTTCCTTCCTGTAGAGCTCCTGGGCTTGCGGGAGGGACCCCAGTTCTGGGACTCCGGGCAGCGTCCTGTGTCTGAGCTCACAGGGCACAGCTGTCAGACGTCACTGTCACCTCCCGGTGTGGCTCCTGGGACAGACCCGAGTCTTGCTCGCCTCTCGGCAGCCACGTGCTTTCTGAGCCCTCTCTACACTCTGCAGAAAGGGGTCCTAGATGTTCTCTGGCCTGTGTGTGCGGGGAGGGGGGGCTGGCAAGGCGATGCCCACCTCTGCTCTGGCGTGCGAGGCGTCTGAGCTCACTGTCAGCCTGACAGGTGGCTCGGGGCCACGGGCCCCTACTGACCACCCCCAGCAAGACTAAGTACACCTCAGCTCCACAGTGAGGCAGACCGCTTCCCACAAGGACAGGCAACTGCAGCCTAAGATGACGGTGCATACCCTGACCTGCAGTCCCTGGGGAATCTGGCCACGGAGTGAAATGGCCTCCCTGTCTCCTTCGTCAACCCCGCCCTGGCTGCCGGCCACACAGGCACCCAGCTGGTGCTCTGTAGAGTGGTCCCTGGATTCCGTCCCAGCCCACCCCCTGACCCTCAGTGGTGTCGTGGGGACAGCGCCGGCAGGACACCTTCATGTTGTAAGTGCAGAGTGCGCAGTGCCAGGGAGTCGTGCCCGCTGGCTTTGCCCAGGCTGCAGACCTGCAGAGGCAACCTCTAGGGAAGGGTCATGGTGCTCCTTCGTGCCTGGGGTTCTGTGATGCCCCTGACTCTTGGCCCCCTTGGGACATTGCACCCTAGAAACCTCACACCCCTGGCCCCCTTTGAGTTCTCTACCCACAGTAGGAGGTCAGGCAGAGCTGCTGAATGCGAGGTAGCACACAGTGTGGGTTGTGGCCAGACTTCTGGTGAACTCCGCCCACACTGGGCATTTCTCGTGTACTGTGAACGGCTTGGCAAGGCTTCTGAGAGTGGGCACTTGTCCTTGGCACCCATGCACTTGAAGAAGTGCTGTCTGCGAGGTGAACGCGGGTGCCGGCGTCCTCACACTGAGCTTGGCCCCTGGGGTGCATGACCAGTCTCTTCTAAAACTGTTTCCGCGGTTGGCTCAGGATGAAAGGAGACCCCGATCATCTGCCTTGAACACCCCCCTTTCCGGGGAGCCCGTCTCTCGTTCTCTGTCCTCATTTTCCTCTTCAGAAAACCATGGGGGGGGGGCTCCAGGGTCACGTGTGTAGGGGACAGGACAAGCAGATGTCTGGTTGCACACGGAGGGGACTGGCCGGGATGTGACATGTGCACACCTTTGCTTTGAGAGAAGATCCGCCTGCTGGCAAAGCAAAGGAGAGCGAGACACGCAGACGCCACCGCTAGCCAGGCGGGAGACTCCAAGGCCGTGACGCGGCCCAGGGCCACGCTGCGGGAAACGGTTCCCGAGTGGACGACTCTCGAGCTGCAGGTCCCTGTGGGCTGCCGCCGCCCCTGCTCGCCCCCTGCAGTCTGTGATCTGTCCCAGGCTCTTCGGTGGCTGAGTGAGCTCTGCCCAGGGCGGACGGGGCTGGAGGGCCACGAGGTGGGGTCCTCTCTACACATACGGGGACTTCCCCAGTGAGGCCATCTCACCTTCCAGACACCCAGGGGATCCTAAGGCACTGGAGGTCGGGACCCGGCCACGCTGTGGTTTTGGGTGCTGTGGATACTGCTGTCTGCCCAGAGTCTCCCACTCGCAACACAGAAACAGATCCCACCGTTCCTCACTCCCCTTTGGACACAGGACACACGCAGGCACGCAGGCACGCACACTTCGGAGACGCCTCCCTCAGACTGCTGCGAGTGAATGAACACCTGTCTGAGGATTCACGCTAAGGTAAAGCAAGGAGACCTGGTGGCACCATGCACTCCACACTTAGAGAAGTGAGGGGCAGGGACAGAGCAGGGGGAGGTGTCCTACCAGGCTGTCTCGCGCTGTTTGGGGACAGGGGTGTGGCGCACGTGCGTCCCTTACACGGCTCCTAAGAGCCAGCCAAACTCAGCGGCTGCCTTCCTTCTCTGGACACCCCCCCCCCCCCACTCCCTCGGGTGTCAGTGGCCCTCCCTCCCGCCAGGGGGCGTGGTCTGTTCCCGGGGTTAGTGACCACAGAAGCAGAAGCAAGCCCCAGCCCAGGGGGCCCTACCATGTCGCTCTGAGACTGCGTGGCCCCGTACATGGTGATCCCGTTGGAGGGCGCTGCTGGCTGCGGGGTGTCGGGCTGGATGTACCCTCTCCTGTCAATCAGGCTGCAAAGAGAGAAGAGGCGTGCACGGGAGGATGAGTGAAGACGGCCAGGGCCACCAGCAGCCCCCAGCGGCTGGAAGAGGCGGGGACGGCCCTCCTCGGAGTCTTGGAGACAGCCGGGCCCTGCCGACGCCCCGACTTCAGCCCCTGGCCTCCAAACCCTGATGCAGGAACTTGCCGCTGCTGCCAGCCAGCCCAGCATGGCTCCTGGCGATGGCACCCAAGAAATGCAGGACTTAGGCCTACACTGCCTGGAGAGAGCCCGCCTCCCCCCGACCCCTGCCGCCCCAGAGGGCTGCACTGGGCAGAGGCCTGCACAGGGGCAGGGGATGCAACTGGGGGTCTCCAGGGAAACTCTCAGGAGGGTCAGGCCAGCTTCTAAGACTCCAGGGCCTCCTCACTACAGTCAGGTCAAGGGGTGGGCAGTGTCCCCGCTCAGTGACTCGGGAGTTCTGATTCACCGGAATGACATAATTTTGGAGAGAATCAAAGCACTTGGTTGCTCGTTTGGTGACAAGAGAGACAGGAGGACCTCAGGGCGTTTCACCAGGGTAGAGAGAGCTTGCCTGGGAGAGGCTGTCGGGGTAGGGGGAGAAACAGCCAGCACCTGCCTGCCTCCTGCCTGGTCACAACTGCAGCCCTCAGACCTAGGGAGGTCTCCCCCCAGCCCCTGGTCCTCCCCGAGGTCACGAGCCCCTCCTCATCCTCACGTGCAAACTCAGCTCCTCCCCTGACAAGCCCGGCCCCGCCCTGCCTCAGGCCCTGCACACGCTGTCCGTCTGCCCGTCCTTGCTGTCTGTCCACACTCTGCTTCTGCCTACCGTTTAGAACGGGTCGCACCTGGGATCCGCTCCTGGGTGCCCTCAGAGCCTTCACCACGCACTTCCGGCCTTGACAGCCCCGTGGCCGTGAGACCACACCCTTGGTGGGGACATTGCACCTTGCATGGAGCTGGGTGACAACACGTGGCCAGTGGCTAGCGGCCAAGTGAGTTCTTACCACTGGTTGGACCCCTGAGGCCAGTCCACGGAGGCCTGACACTGACATTCCCCTTGAAGACTGGCAGGAGGCCCCCTCCTCAGCTGTCTGTGTCTCACACTTCTGTGACACCATGCAGGAGCTGAATGTGGGTCCTTGCGCTCCTGGCACACAGGCCACCAGTGAGAACCACAGGACACTTTCTCTCCCCAGCATACCGTGCGCCATTCAAGAGCAGGCTGGAGGCGACATAAGCACGTGGTCTGTCCCCGCGTTAGCGGGCGGCCCAGGCTGGGGCACCTGGGCCATGTCCTGGCCCCCCTGAGGACAGGGGTTGGATGAGGCAGCTGAGAGACAAACACCACCCCCTCTGGCTTCTGCCGTTCCCGGGGAGCTTGCGAGCCAGGTGAGAGCTGAGCGGCCCCTTTCCTGTGCAGGTCCTGGGGCCTGTTACAGTAATCCCCCAGAGACAGGCAGCTCCAGAACTGCAAAGCAGCGTATGGGGTCTCAGCTATCAGGATGCACCAGCCAGCTTCTAGCTGGGGACCGTGCACGGCGTCATGTAGACAAGCCTGCGGCTCCATGACACCTGCTTCTGTGTCCCCTGAACACTGGTGGCCTGGCGCTGCCCCATTCACAAACCGTTCGAACAAACCCTTTAACACGACTCAGTTCACCGCTGAACAGCGGTTCAGGGGGTACCAGGGGGCCGTTCTAGAGAAATGCCCCCTAAAGGAACTTGGATTTGGGAAAGAACACGGCCCAAGTGGCAAATGCAATCCACTTGTGGAAGGGCTGGGACAGAATTTGCTCCATAAACGAGATAAAGCAGGAGTGAGGAGCCGGGAGATCCGTTTGGGCAGAGTGGGAGCCTTCTCTATCCTGCCCGGGATCAGGAGGGGAGCGGAGGCTCTGACGCGGCCCAGGCTCCTCCTACTTCACGGCCTGTCCCCACTCTGCACAAACTCACAGGGTGAAGTCCAGCTTTTCTGCGGAGCTGTCAGCCTATGGAGCCCCGACAGGGTCCCCGGGTGAGGAGCGGCTGGAATGCCCAGGCGGCCCCTGCACCTGGAGGTCTTGCCTGTCCCCTCCTGCCAGGCCTTCTCAGAGCAGGTTCTGAGGGGCAGGTTAGGGGTGCCTGGACACCCCCTAACTTGGTGGTAGCGTGGTCCACAGCAGGCCTTCTGCAGCCTGTTTCCGCATCTGTGGGCTCGCCCAACTGTGGACTGAAAATATTAAGGGCAGAAAATACATGTGCACCAAATACGTGCACCGCTTTCCTTGTCATCACCTCCAAGTGACACAGTCTAAGTGCCGTTGTCATGGCATTTACGCTGTGTCAGGCTTTTAAGGAGATGATTTAGAGCACAGAGGAGGATGTGCGTGGCGTGGGTTATATGCAAATACCATGCTCCCCCTTTTAAAAAAGAATTGCTTATTTGAAAGGGAGAGAGAGAGATTGATTGACTGATGATGATTTCTTGGGCCACCTCTGCTGCCCCACAGGTGCACCGGCAGGAAGCTGGATCAGAAGCGGAGGAGCCAAGTCTCAAAGCACGCACTCTGATGAGGGATGCAGCAGTCCCGAGTGGCGGCTTAACCCGGGTTGAGAGACAGCCCCGAATACTGCGCCATGTTACATGGGGGTCTGCGGCATTCTGGGAGTGTGGTATCCGTGGGGTGGGGTAGGGGGAGCAGGAGGGAGGGGGACGACTGTAGTGGGAACCATATTTCTAGGCCAAAGCTGGAAAATGACCAACTTCTTGTCCCTCAGTAGCACCGCGGCTGAGTCCAAACAACAACAACCCAACACCAATAACGAACGGCCTTGGAATACAGGAGGTACTTCAAAAAGCTCACGGAAATTGGGATCAGAAGATGAGTGGATGTTGGTACAAAAGTTTTTTGAAATCCATGCATATGGAGCTGGCGCTGTGGCACAGCAGGTTGATGGCCTGACATGAGGCGCTGGCATCCCCTGTGGGCGCTGGTTTGGGACCTGGCTGGTCCACTTACAATCCAGCTCTCTGCTATGGCCTGGGAAAGCAGTAGAAGATGGCCCAAGTCCTTGGACCCCTGCACCCATGTGGGAGACCTGGAAGAAGCTCTAGGCCCCTGGTTTCGGATTGGTGCAGCTCCGACCATTGTGGCTAACTGGGGAGTGAACCATCAGATAGAAGACCTCTCTCTCTCTCTGCATAACTCTGACTTTCAAGTAAGTAAATAAATATTTTTAAAAAATCTATGCATAGCTTTTTTGCATAATATACACTTACTCTATGAACTGTCTGAAGAACTCTTATATACATGTTCTTAATTAATCTTCTGCACCTAAATAAACTTACCTTTCGTTTCCATTGTCCATGAACTTTTTGCCTGCTTGGACTCTTCCCCCTTTCTGTGTGCTGCTTGTACTCGCCTAACACAGGGTCACTGAGGCTGGTCACGGAACACAGGCTGTATCCTGTGCGTGCCCTCGGTGAGGCTCAGACTCAGGGCCCACTTCGGAAACAACCTGGCAGCTGGCATGTTGCGTCCCGGGTTTGGGTCCTGACTAGCCGGCACTCACCAGCTATGTGGCTTTGGATGCGCGATTCGAACTCTGTGCCTCAGTCTCCCCATCCATAAAATGGGAGACAGCAGTCTCTACCTCTTAGGCACAGAATGGGGATTCAGAAAGTCAGTCCATGCGGAGCAGGCAGAGCAGGGCCAGTGAGTGGCAGCGGCTGTGGTGACGACCACTGTCGCACTCAGCTTCTGCGGCCCACGTGGCCCCGGCCCTGAGCTACTTTCTACCCCGGACCCCTCAGCTTCCAGCGCTCACTGCTGTAGGTTTCCCTTGTCATGCGGGTCACAGCACCCTGCTGGCGCACACGGGGGCAAGCGCAATGAGTCACAGTGTCACTGGCCTTGATTCATCTATTTCGAGGTTTCAGATATTTGCCCCGAATCTGACCTAAAAAAAGGTGTGACGAGTGACACACCAAAGGGGACCAGAGCCCTCGTGTGCAGCACGGAGTGCAGAGCTGTGCCAGCAGTGACCTGGCGGGTGTGGCCGATGCCGGCGGCTCCGGAGGTCTGTGGGGGGGTTCTTCCTTACCTGGGAGAGATGGGGCCACACAGGGCGACACAGCAGTTGGTGAAGATATTTCCGTAGCTGTAGGGGTTGTAATTGTCTTTCCCTCTTTTATTGGACCAAGATCCTTTAATCTGGAAGAGAAGCAGACTCCGTGACACACGGTAGCCTTCAGGGCGGTGCCCCAGAAACACAGAGGCTCAGCAAGGGGGCCAAACACGGTGGGGGTTCCTGTACCAGGGGAGCCGAGGGGCTTGGCTCAGGGGAGACGGGCATTTCCCCCAAACGGGGAAAACACCCCCAAATGGCAGCTTAGACTGGGGCGAGAGACATTCTCTGGGGACAGCACTCTTTCATGTGTCCTGCATGGGGCCAACATGGGACCAACATGGGACTAACATGATGCTGACACAGTACCAACACGGCCCTGAGAGGCCGTCATCCAGACTGTGAGATTGAGCCTTGAGGTGTTGCTGAAACCATGCGTTGTATGGATTCTGACTCCAAAGCTACCAAACACGAAGAGCTATGTTCTTGGCCTGTGTCCTATTGGCACCCATTTTCTCATGCCTTCCCCGAAGGGGCCTGACCTGTCCTGAGACATTCAGCTTATGCATGGGATTTAACAGGCTGTGTCCGACCCCACGTGCCACGGGGCGAGAGGAGCAAGGCCAGCGAGCAGCGCCTGCTACCGTTCTGTCCCGTTTCTATGCCTGCGTCTTGTGTTTAGTACAGGCAGGGAAACACCTGATAAAAGGGTTAAACTAAACAGACTGAGACGGGAAAGGCACACTCATTGGGTCGGCCTGCGGTGCCACTCTGCCCTGGTTTCTCCTTGTCAGGGGAAGGGTGACCAGTTAAGCAGAGCCGGTGTGGTGGCATAGCACAAGTCCCAGCTCCACTTCCCGTCCAGCTTCCTGCTTGTGTGCCTGCGAGGGCAGCGGAAGACGGTCTCCTGCCACCCTTGTGGGAGACCAGAAGCTCCCGGCTCCTGGTTTCAGCCTGGCCCAGCCTCGGCCATTGCAAACACTAGGGGAGTAAACCAGCAGATGGAAGATCTCTCTCTGTCTTCTTCCCTCCCCTCCTGTAACTCTGTCTTCCAAATAAATAAATATTAAAAAAATTCTTTACAAAGGAGAGAAAGCATCTCTTCCCAGAGTCCTCACTCGGCCAACCTCAACATCTAACCTGCAGGACCAGCAACCTCTGCTGGTGACCCGCGGGAATGCCCCTGGGCACGCTTCCAGCCCACACCGCGTTCCCCATGGGCGTGGGGGCAGTCGACCCCTAACCTCTTCATCCCCCCCACCCCCCACTGAACACAACAGACCCCACCCTCGGCCCACGCCGGCTGCAACTTACGTCCTCGTTGGTTGTCTGGTTGGAGCTGATCAGGTACGTGTGGAATCCCGAGAGGCCGACGATGGACCAGACGGAGAAGAAGCACACCACGGCTTCCAGCACGGTGACCGAGTCAAGGAGGCCAACGGAGGCGGGCGGCTGGACACTGGGGGTGACAGCTGCCCGGCACCCTGCCCTTCCCCCGGCACCCGGCTTCTCTCTACGCAGAGGGAGGCCTCCCTGAGGGTGGGGACCGTCAGATCCTCCTGTCCCCACTGTGAGGGGCTGCATGGCTGGCTCCCTGAGTGTCACTTATGCATGCTGTCCCCGACACTGCTCTGTCACATGTCCCCGAGACTCCACGTGCAGCCGTGGCCGGGTCATCCCAGCCAGGAACGGCACTGCTTCCAGCTGGCTGTGGCTCTGGCCGTCCGTGAAAGGCCACCTCCAGCAGGGACGGGAGTTCTGCTCGACACTGCGGCCCTGCAGGTCTCTCCCGCAGGCAGGCTTGTGAGGCCCAGAGGCCTCTGCCCAGCCGGCTTATAGAGCAGTGCCGGGTGACGCCCGACTAAGGGGGGTGGGGCACACTCACACAGGGGCCATTTGTGCAGGGCTGTGTTCAGCGCCTTGGCAGGTAACTGAGAACCAGAAATTCTCACAGGACAGGAATGGGAGGAGGGCTACAGCCCCACACACGAGACACAGGAGAAAGGCCCAGCACTCCCCACCACATGAGACCCACCCACCAAGAGTGTGGTGACTGAAAAAGGCCAGAGAAATCTTTCTGTCCCGCAAATGTCTATCAAATACCATTTATGGGGTAGGCGTGCGGTCCGGTGATTAAGATCCTGCGTGGGACACCCACAGCCAGAACACAGTGCCCGGGTTCAAGTCCTGGCTCTGCTCCCAAGTCCAGCTTCCTGCTGATGCACACCCAGGAGGCAGCAGGTGATGGCTCAAGGACTCGGGGCCCCGCCACCGACATGGGAGACCTGCATTGTGGGCCCCACTTCCGGCTTCTGCCCAGCCCAGTTCCAGCTGTTGCAGGCATTTGGGGAGTGAACCAGTGAACTGGAGATCTCATCTGTCTGCCTGCCTTCTGAACAAATTAAAAGAAACAAATTTTAAAAAAAGTTAAATTCTATTTACAGAGACACAGCTGTTTCTGTAAATCATGGCTCTGGGAGTCTCAATAATGCCAGGCTGGAGCAAGCAACGCCGCTGCTGCCCTGCGTTTCCAAGGACGGAAGCCGCTCAGCTCGCACCCTAACACCAGTCACAGGTTTTTCTGGACTGGGTACAATTCATCTATGGGCTACAGAACTGAATGCACAACCCAGTGTGGTGCCCCAACCCGCCCCATCCACAACCACGACACATGGCACTGTCAGGCACAGCACAGGTGGGGTCAGGGGTAGTGTGGATCTGGAGGGGACAAGATCCCTGGCTGCCACCAGCCTGGGCCGTGTCTCCACTTTCCCCAGGGTTACCCCAGTGGGCAGATGGCCATGGTGGGAGCCTGTGGTGGACAAGGGGACACACGGGCGGTGGCCCACACTGCAAGGATGGTCTTGGCCCATCTCCAGGCCACTGCTCCCCCTGCAGGTTTCATCCCAGGAGGAGGCACTGTGACTGGGGCTAGGAATCTAGACGGCTTCAAGCAACAGCACCACCACCACCACCACCTCCACCACCACCAGCACCAGCACCACCACCACCACCTCCATCATCACCACCACCACCAGCACCAGCACCACCACCACCATCACCACATCCACCACCACCTCCACCACCACCACCTCCACCTCCACCACCACCATCACCAACACCTCCACCACCACCAGCACCACCACCACCACCACCACCAGCATCACCATCACCTCCACCACCACCACCTCCACTACCACCATCACCACCACCACCTCCACCACCACCAGTACCACCGGCACCACCACCACCAACACCACCTCCACCACCACGATCACCACCACGACCGGCTCTGTCATCACCACATCCACCATCACCAACGCCGCCAGTAGTTCCGGCATCACATACACCACCCAGGTCATGTGCTGAGACTCAACTTAGGCCGGGTTTGGCTGTGGTCCTGCAATAGAGCTAAATT